CTCCGTGAGAACCTGTACCTTGTGCTACCTATCGCCAACATGACATCCTCGGGCATTCCGGTCAAGTCGCCTCTAAGCCGCCATCCATCCACGCAGCTCAACATTATCGTCGTCGGCGGCGGTCTGGGAGGCATCGGCGCCGCCATTGCCCTCTTACTCGCCGGCCACAAAATCACTATTCTAGAAGGGGCGGAAGAGATTGGCGAGGTCGGGGCCGGGATCCAGATCCTGCCGAATTCGTCACGGATCCTTCAGTCATGGGGTTTGCGAGAACGTCTTGAGCAATATGCCACCAGGCCGTCGCAGGCCAACATGATCGGTTGGAAAGGCAATTTAATCTCATACCTGGACTTTGTCGAGAGCGCCAGTGCATATCCAGGCACGTGCTACTGGGACTTTCACCGTGCCAATCTTCATCAATGCATGCTTGACCGAGCAATTGAACTGGGCGCCGACATCAAGGTGCGAGCAAGAGTGACGGATGTTCAGATTGCCAGCGACGACGCCGACACGGCCACGGTGATCCTGCAGTCCGGCGAAGAATACGTCGCTGATCTGGTTGTGGGCGCCGACGGGGTCAACTCAACGCTACGAGAGGTTATGCTTGGTCGTCCAGACCCCCCAACGCCGACGGGCGACCTCGCCTACCGGCTCCTGCTGTCTACCGCAGACATGCTCCACGACCCTGAATTGGCGTCATTTGTCGAAAAGAAACAGGTCAACTACTGGATCGGGCCCGATGCTCATGTGGTGAACTATGTGCTCCGAGGCGGCGAGTTGTTCAACATGGTCCTCCTCGCCCCCGACGATATGCCCGTCGGAGGCGCGAATACCATGGAGGGTGACATTGAGGAAGTGCGTGCTTTCTTCAAAGACTGGGATCCCCGGATCCCCAAGCTCCTGGCACTGTGTAAGTCGGTGTCCAAATGGCGGCTTATGTACCGCGTCGGCATGGACTCGTGGAATCATGCGTCGGGGACTTTCACGATGCTTGGAGATGCGGTGCACGCCACTCTGCCCTATCTTGCTTCTGGAGCAGGCATGTGCCTGGAAGATGCAGCTGTGCTCGGCGAAGTCTTCTCGCGGGCCCCCGATCCCACATCGGCGGCCGTGAAGAAGCAATTGCTTGCAATCTACGAAGCTTGTCGGAAGGAGCGAACGCAAATGCTCGTGGAAAGAGGCAACTTGCAACAGTACCTCTATCATCTGCATGATGGGCCTGAGCAAGAGGAACGAGACCGGAAGATCAGGGCCAAGGAACCGGGAGAAGCCCTGGTCTGGAGAGATTCAGTATTGGCACCGCGATTGCTGGGGTATCAAGTTGAGAGAGATGTAAGTGAACGAAACACCTCTGCGATATGTTGTAGCTGCACCTCACTGATCGTGTTAACCCAGGTCGACCAATATTGGCCTCCCGAATGCCTTCGGACGGAAAGGCGCACTCCAGGACTCCATGTTCTGGAAGGACGTCTATGAAATCTTTTTCTCTGCAAGTGAAGAGGCACGCTTGTATATGCTGCGAACTGATGTGTCGCAATCGAGCAATGTCTGATGAGACTCCAGTCCACAGAAGCCGAGTCGGATTTCAGTCCGTCATGACTGCGCAATGCGATGAAATCAAAAGAGGAAAGGAAACACATTTGTCCACTTTTTGTGCAAACATTTGAATTAGAACATAGTAGAGCATAAGGGTTTCACCTTCTACCTGAAATGTACAAAGTAGATCATCTGGAACCCCAGCGAGCAATCTTGCAAATTACTATCCTGCTCTTTTATGGTATGCCGAGATACTCAGCTGCGAACTTTGACCTAATTATCCAAAGTCGATTTCCCGTTTCCAGAGCTGAACATCTCGCCCTTTGATGTGAGTCGTGACTAAGCCATTCGGTGCTGTAACTATGCGATCCTGAACACCGCTCAGCAAGCCCTGAGGTTTGCCCTGAGCAGCCTGAGTACGGAGTATAGCCGTCAGTGTATGAAAAGGGCCAAAGCTTAGCCCCGGGGTTCCCATTTTTCTATGTTTCGAAGTTCGGAAGGGCCATACCCCGGCCAGGCTGTTGCCTGCTGAGGTTTTCACAAGTATCAAGGTAGTGAGCCAGAGATGTAAGGCGCAGGTTGCTTGAATTCAACCCCTTTCATATCGCTGGAAGATCAAGAAGGGCACCCAAACACGTCTACTTAATTATGCTACCCCTAATTCATCCATTGATCGGTGTTATACCAGTCGAACCACCCCGGCGTCGTATGACCGTCGCCACCAATATTTCTAAACTCGAATTCGCTGAACTCGGCCACATAACTCTCGGTCAAGGTGGGATCGTAAGTCCTGGACTGGGTACGCTCGGCGATGTAGCACTGTGCAGCCCGGCACAAGAGCTTGTACAGGCTGTGAGGGTGAGTTATCCCTTCGCCAATGTCCGTTTCCAGCTGCAACGAATTGGTGAAACCCTCCATGCGAGCGAGGTCGACGTCATCGACTTGTTGGAGGGTGCGAGTCAACAAGATATTGAACGGCACAAATGGAATATTCAGGAGCGCCCTTCGAAACATGGTCAGCAGCTCTGTGGCCAGTCCTCTAACGGAATGATACATCAGTGTCGCTTACCAATTCATATATCTCTGTATCAAGAAAGGGTCATTTTTCAAAAACCGTGCCATTTTGAGGAACTCTGCGTGGAATTGAAAGACAGACCGCGCGGCAGCAACACACTCATCTGACCCGCTGTGCGCAGCATCCCTCTGGCCGGGCGCTGCATGTAAGATCGATGTAAGCACAGAGGACTGACACACAAGCTCGGCCTTCAGGTACACAAGGCGTATGTTCTCTTCGTCAACAGCACTAAGCTGTCTTGAGGCATCCTTGCACCTATATCAGTGTTGAACGAAATCTGTCGGGGCGTGTCATACCGAAATTTCTGCGTTTGTTTGTCGGATCAAATCTCGTGTTGCCTCTGCTAGGACTTCGACGGCGCTACTTCGTTGTTTATCGTTAGTCGCATTGTTGGGAGTTTTAGGACTATGCAACTGCTCGTATATCTGGCCTTGTATTCTGCCTAGCTTCGCCTCTCGAATATCGCACTGGTCTATCGACAATGTCACTTCAGAGTCACGGATGTTGGAAAGCCGACGCAGTCGGAGAGAGAGGGCCTTGTCAATGGCATAGACTGTCCAAAAGAGGCGCTCTCGGTCGGCTTGAGGTACATCATGCGGATCGTCAGAGGCCGGACCGCAGTGATAGCGTAACGTTATGCAGAGACTAGAGGCAGCGGAGATGAAGCTCCAAGCCATGGCTGCTTGAGAGGATTCAATCGCACTGGCCGCCTGTTCCATTGTCAGCCAGCGAACTTGACAAGGCATCCTGCGGCAAAGAGAAACTCACGCCGATCGTCAGAGCGGCGATGGTCTCCATACATGGTTTGAGAAGAAGTGGCAGCCGCAAGAGAGCATTGCGGAGGTTTATCCGACAGCAATACCCATAATCCTTGTGCTCCTGCAGGCCGGAAAGATTTGCATGTTCCGAGAACATATAAGACAAATAGCCGTTACCAACAACGAGGTCGACTTGGTCGTGATCGCCGGTGGGGAAATACAGTTTCTGGCAAATCTTTGCAAACTTTTCGAGAGGAAGTATTCGGGAGACCCATCTCATCGTAGCGATCTGAGCATGGTCTATGATCGATGTCAGTCAGCCCCTTCGATACAGTGTAGCTGTGTAACCAACCTCTCGCCCATCGAATGACCGCCGTTGCTGCTTCCACAGGTGGCAGGGTCAGGTCCTCCTCCTGTTTGGCCCCCGTGAATTCTGAAATCACTTGCGTTTGAAAAATCTTCTGGGCTTCAGCAGTCCGTACGAAGCATCTCAAGGAGGCCATGGTTGCACTGTCTCCTGGCACAGTCTTCCTCCGGTCCTCCACTATGTCTTTGACAAAGTCGATGAGGTGGGCTGAGTGCTCCCATTGAGCGCTTGATCCAGCAGTGGCAGGAACAGATTGGAGCATTTTAGGGACTTCTTTGGCGGCTCGATTGCAACTCGAGAACCAGGATCCAGCATTGCCGCGCTGGTCTGCATTCGGCGTTGAAGCTGCAGTGTCTGTAAGCAAACGTCGAATTTCGTCGACGTTTTTGACGAGATCATCGATCTTGCGCTCGCTGGTCGAAAAAGAGTGAGCATCATGGCGAGGAGACTATGGCACTAGCACGACGAGACCACTTACTATTCCGTTGATATTAAAACCCTCTGCTTGGAGGCCAAAGGGGTGCTTCGAGTTGCACTATGAGTACACTCAGTCCGCACCGAGATGCAATGAGAGCACGGCACAGCTCGGTCACAACCAATCTAAGCCCTCTGTAAGAATGAGATCTTCGCTTTTCACTGTTCGTTTCGTCTGGGAAGGGGAAAACCGACCTTTCGGGCGCGACATTGGTCACACTACTCTCAGCAATTGCCTCAGTCTTCATTGATCATAGACTCTTCAATCCTTAGCACATCGGAGCTGGACTTACTGAGCGACGGGATATTGCTGGGCGTCTCTGTGAGCCATTCCGATCAGGTAATCCGCGGGATTCCATCTTTCTCTGACAGGGGAGAGTGGGAGCAATGAACGCGGGTGGAAAAAGTGAAGTGAAGGTGAACTTGGCGCCGCCGAGACGGGAACGCGCGGGTTTCCGTGGATGGAATTACCAATTTTTTGGAAACACAACCCCATCGCCAAGTACCAGGGCATTCAACCCATCATCGCATCGTCGCCTCTCATTCTTGTGGGACCAAGAACTTTATTGTGATCGCGATCAAGCATAGCAGCTGTGTTCGCATAGTCCCACTGAATTTGAATCTTTGCTACCTCTCGAAGTCGCGCAATGAAAGAACTCTCCCGGCTCCACCTTGACTGCGACATAAATCTGTTGCGTCGAAAGCGCTTCAGCTGTACTCAACTCATCTTTCTACACCGAAGGAAGAGATTCGTCGAGTGCTTTCTAGGAAAGCAGCGATAGAGTCCACCATGGCAGTCACTGTTCACGGTCATTGTCAAGAAAGATTCGAAGCCGTCCGTCGACTTCTGCAGAACTATGTCGAGTCTGGTGAAGAATTGGGCGCGTCGATTGTCGTCAACGTCGATGGTGATGACGTCCTTGATCTCTGGGGAGGTTTTACGACCCGCGACCATTCGAAGCCGTGGGAACGCGACACGATAGTTAATGTCTTTTCAATGACCAAGACGACCTTGTCGTTTGCTTTACTTCTCCTGGCGGACCGAAAGCAGCTGAAGTTGACCGACAAGGTGGCCAAGTATTGGCCTGAGTTTGCTGCGAATGGGAAGCAAAATATCGAGATACGGCACATCATGTCCCATACCTCTGGTCTCTCAGGATGGGATCAGCCGTTAGTGATCGAGGATCTGGTCAACGTACCCAAGCTCTCAGCTCTCCTCGCCCAACAGCAACCGTGGTGGGAGCCAGGCACGGCATCGGGATATCAATCACTGTCGTCTGGGTACTTGATTGGGGAAGTTGTGCGACGAGTCTCTGGCAAAAGTCTCAAACAGTTCATTGCAGAAGATATATCGGCCCCGCTTGGAGCGGACTTTCAGCTGGGGTGTCAAGAACGGGATGAGCCACGCAGGAGCGACATATTTCCGCCTCCAATGCAGTTTCCGCCGATCGAGCCTAGTTCAATCATGGCCAAAACATTGTCTAATCCTGCGATGGAGATAGACTTTGCCAATAGCCTAGAGTTCAGAAAGGCCGAAATTGGGTCTGGCAATGGTCACACAAACGCAAGGGGCATAAATCGAATCATGTCTGTCATTTCGAGACACGGCCGCGCCCAGGATGGTCAGGAATTCCTGTCTGAAACCACCATCAATCAGGTCTTCCAGGTTCAGGCGGACGGAACTGACCAGGTATTGAACTTCGGGGCCCCCATTCGCTGGGGTACGGGCTTCGCTCTACCCTCGGCGGGTACATGGATCGATTGGATTCCCTCGGGAAGAATCTGCACCTGGGGTGGATTTGGCGGCTCAATCGTGATTATGGATCTGGAGCGTAAAATCACCATTTCATATGCCATGAATAACTTGGAGGTGACGTTCTTGGGGTCGGTGCGCACAAAGGCATATGTGACAGCTATATATGACGCGCTCGAGACATCCAAGGTCTGAATTTCATTTCATCAATTGTCATTGGTAATAGAAGCATAGAAACTAAGGCTATCATCCGTGATATGTACTATAATTCCTGTGGTATCCTTGCTTGCAAAATTCGTTCGCATGGACCTCTACTAATCAAACCTTGATAAAATCCAGCCAATGTTGGTCCCACCGTGTCAAGGCCGACTCCGTGGGAAGATGTGTAGCCTTTTCAAGCGGGTGAACTCTGATGACGGGGTAATATAGGGTATCCTTGCACCCCAAGTGCTCCAAGCTTGGATACTTTCCACCGCTTTCTTGTGTCGAGGTAGTGGACTATATCTTCCTCTTCCCACAACCCCGACAGTCCATGAGAAGGTCGATTTTGACTGCGGGATTTTTTTCTTTGAAAAGCAATACCTTCATCATGACTTCAAACTTAAGAGACAGCAGTGCTCCTATCCGAGTGGGCTTATTGAAGTTCGACGGCCAAGTGGCCATCGTCACAGGTGCAGCAAGTGGAATTGGAAAATCTGTGGCACACCTTTTTGCCGCACGAGGAGCCCTGGTCATCTTGGTGGACATTGACGAGCAAGGCCTGCGTGAAGTTGAAACCTACTTGAGCTCGCATGGTGGAAGGATGTTCGTTCGAGCATGCGACTTGACACAGGAAGACCAAGTACATGAACTCGTGCACGGCATCATTCAGCAATACGGCAAGATCGACATAATGGCACACCTGGCTGGGATGTATCCTGCAAGGCCACTACTGGAGACGACTGCTGCGGAGTACAGAAAGATTTTCCAGGTGAACATGGACAGCTGTTTCTTTTTGACCCAGGCAGTCTTGCCATACATGCAAAAAGCCGGGTATGGAAGGATCATCAACACCTCGAGTCAAACAATCCTCAAGCCGGAGCCTGGACTCTCCGTATACACAGCATCCAAAGGTGCAGTTGCGGCCTTCACGAGGGCAACTGCCGTCGAGGCAGGCCCGGGAATCACGGCAAACTTCGTCACACCCACAATGATTGCGACTGAACGCACCACAGCGGTCCCAGAAATGCAACCTTGGCTTTCTAAGGTCGTGGATCTTCAGGTAGTCAAGAGAAATGGCACTCCAGAAGATGTGGCCCATGCATTTATGTATCTGGCGAGTCCTGAGGCTGAGTTCATAACTGGACAGATGTTCAATGTTGGCGGTGGAGCTGTGTTTGTGTAGACTCAGACTGAGTTGTCATCACATTTTCTCGAGCGCCGCTATAACATTAAATCCTACAAATGCCTTACTAGGTCCCAGCACAAATCTTCTGTTCTGAATGCCTGCCTGTTGAGTTGGAAAAACACGTCATGAATTTTTTTTTTTCCGAACTATATCTATAGGCAGTCTCGCTACACTTCAAGTTGGGTATTTTGTTGTTCTTCGACTATTCTTTGATAACATCAAACCCTTTCCACCCGTCCAAAGCGTCGCTTATTTTTTTGCTGTAGAGGTTCAGGCCCCCTAAATAGATCAACTGCTCTCTTGGTTTTCCCGGTATATTTGCGCCCATGAACCAGCTGTCTGTCTCCGGGTAGAGTGTTTTGTTGCTAATGGCGTGGACCTCATTCCTCCAGCGCTCAGCCGCAGCAGCTTGGGCATCAATGTATTTCACACCTTCCTCGCGCATTTTTTGGATAGCCTGACCGATCCATTCTATCTGTATTTCGATGAGTGGCGGACCGTTGGAAAGGGCAGTGGGAGCCTGCGGTGAATAGGTCATGAACATATTGGGCATCTTGTTGACCATAAGCCCCATGTAAGTATAGATGCCGTTCTTCCATTTCTCCGTCAGTTTTACTCCATCGGTATCGAGCAGTCCAGCGTCAAATAGACTGCCCGAGACATTATCGTAGCCGGTTGCAAAAATGATGATGTCGAATTTTCGCTCCTTGTCGCCGGAGAAGACGATGCCCTTCTCTGTGAACCGTTCTATCCCATGCTCCTTCAAGTTTAGTACCGTTACATTGTCCCGATCTACCATCTCATAGTAGTCCTGCTCCAGGGATGGCCGTTTGGTGAAAATCCAATGCATCTGCTTCAACGGCGCCATGATGTCTCTCTTGACCGGGTCTTGAATCCGAGCTCGCGTCTTCTTGACCCAGAAGGCATAAATCTCTCTGTTGATCTCCCTATCTCTGAGCAGCTCAATGTAATTTGAGACGAAGAAGCTGAAACCGCCTTTCAACCAAAGCTCTTCATAGAATGTCTGGCGCTCTTCAGGTGTAGCCTCTGTCCAGTGCTTTGGGGCTGGATTGTAAGGAAAACCTCCCCAACAGTCTCGAGCTCCCATCAGTATGGACTGGTAGAAGCACTTTGGCGATATTTGCTCTTCCCGAGTCATCTTGTGTTGCCGCATTGGGATTGCTGTATTGGGTGTGCGCACGCATACGGTAAGATGGCACTCTTCGCGCGCGAGGGTCTGTACAATCTGTACCCCGGTTGCCCCAGAACCGATGACGCAGACCTTCTTGCCTTTGACATCCACTGCTTCTTTGGGCCAACGCGCTGAGTGGATCAGGTGGCCCTTGTATTTATTCCGGTCTGGAAAATCTGGATAGTACACCTTTGATGTCGAACCTGTGCCCATGACCAGATACTTGCATTTGGCCGTGCTTCCATCAGCGGTGTGTACGTTCCACTTGCCCTGCTCTATGTCGTACAAAGCAGAGGTTACAAGTGTGTTGAATATCGCATCCCTTCTCAAATCAAGAATATTTGCTGCATGTGCAAAGTACTCTTGTAGCTCCTCGTGTCCCGGGAATCGTTCTTTCCAGTACCAATCCTTATATACTTCAGGAATGGTGAGTGAATAGTACGGGGATTCACTATCTACCCGAGCCCCTGGATATCGATTCCAGTGCCAGGTTCCTCCAAAGCCAGAACCGGCATCGATGACCTTGACGGTCAGACCGAGTTTGCGAAAATAATGAATGCCGTATACTCCGGTAAATCCGCCACCGACGATCAGAACATCGACATCAATGTTTTGAGAAGTTTGGACATCGTGCCTGTCACCGTTGGCAGGAGCACCGTTCATGGCCTCAACTTGGACACCGTTTGGCGTGGACAAGTATGATGCTGAGTGCTCGGCAGTTGCGAAGTCTTCTGGTCGATTAGGGAGGCCTGCCATGGCTGAATGAGTCTTGAGGCACGTACAAGGCTGGTGGAAGTCGAAGTCATTAATAGATATTTGAAGCTACCGGAAAGTACTCTAGGAGACACGGATAATTCCTTGCTGACTTCATTGCGATAACGATCCGTGTAACATGGGACCGTGGGACCTGCCAGCGCCAACTACAGTAGTTGATCTAGGCCCAGACCATCTTTTGAACGGCCATCACGTACAAACCTTGCTACGTCGTGGAGGATTGCTCCACCCTGTCTCAAAGATGGGGAAAGGGGCTGCTGGCAAAGGCTCCGATGCCTCCCTGGACACGGAAACGCGCGGGTTTCCTCGCTCTGAGTATTACACTACTTCGCGCACCGTATGCATAACTCTACAAGACCGCCACCGGTCTATGTGGATCATATCACTAGTATCATGCTGTGAACGAAATTTCGATGCAGAAATTTATTGGATCAATGGATTGGTGACTGGCGCTGGAGCCGACTCATTATCTTTGTCCGCTTCACCTTCGTCGCTGGCTAAGCTGGTCTCCGTCCGGTTGATTCCTTCTCAGAAGCTACAATCATGAAATCTACAAGCTGCTGACCCCATAATTCCTCACTTGGGATTCCGGTCCCAAGGCTTAACACTGGACTGAAGTGGTTGTGACCGTCTACCTTCACCACTGCCAGCTGCGTAAACAAAGCGGAGTGCTGCCAGGCCTTCACAAAAGCTGCCGTGGGTGCCAGGATCTCAACCTCGGGATCGAGTGAGCAGGTTAAAATAGCCACTGAAGCATCCGCCAAGTATTTGAGTGATTCGTCTTTCAAACCGTCCAGGAACAGCGCCAGCGGTGAGTGTCGGGCCAGGTCCTTTCCATAGTAAGCCTCAAAGTTCTCCCTCCGCGTACCTCTGGCGTCGTCAAAAGTGAGCGGAACTGACAGAAATATGACAGCTTTCATATTTGCGCCTCCAAGGTCTTCTCCAGTTAATATGTTCCGCCTGCTGCCAAGCTCGGAAGCCATCAGATACGTCGCGAGATGAAGTCCCCCTGCAGAATGTCCCATGAGGAAGATATCCAGCGATCGGTGGTTGTCTGACAGATGATCGGACACCCATTCCACCACGAGTGCTAGATCTTCTCCTCCAGAGGGAAAGGTGGCTCCATGTGCCAGGAGCCGATAGTCTGGTATGACTACCTGAATCCCCAATTGTTCTGAGAAGAAATACCCGACATTGGCGTACAACAGTCCTTCAGCAAAATCAGGATCCACCCTGTTGCCGCGAGCCAGGCCGCCACCATAAAGGAAGATCAGGACTGAATGCTTGTTGAGACGCCGAGAGTTCTCTGATGAGGGACTGTAAAAGTCTAGGATTTGGCGTGGGTGTGTGCCATAAGCATAGGTCCGACGGGCTGTTGACCGAATTGCGTCGGCGTTTTTCATCAACAAAGGAGCGTAGATGCGATATGTTGGATGTAGAATATCCACCAATGATGTTCCAAGCGAGGTTAATGTGTCCATTGTTGCCGATGTTCAATGTAGTGTGTCGAAACCAGATTAAAGGGTATGGAGGGGCTTTTGTGGCACTCGATACCTGCTTCATCTTCCTCCTCTACTCGGCACGCTTCGGAGTATTCCCGCACCTGGTCATGACGTGGTCATGTCGATTTCTACGTGGTCCACCTCTTCGGAACACCGTCGCCCATTGCTGCACAAGTCCTGTAGCAATTCCAATCATGCCGGACAGGGTCAATTATGCTCCCGAGATATTTTCTTGTCGAAGCTGCCCCGTCCCACCATGTGTACTAGGATATGAAGTAGGATGGGCTGCGCTCGGATGTTACCAGATGTCTGAGATCCGACTCGACTTCGCAACTTTTGA